ACTCGTCATTCAGTGGCTTCGCCATGATTTGTTTCGGGGCGATCGCAGTTCATCGAGGGGGGGGCACCGATAGTCACTGGGGCATCCGACTGTCGGGTCACGTTTCCCGTCGGGCAGTCCTTCAAATTGCAGAGGACGACCTCCGCAACGTTGCAGAGTGGGCAGCTGGGATGACGCGGCGGGGTCGGGATACATCGACTTGGTTTATTTCGAGCCGCGATCTCATCTGGTGCAGCCGAAACGCGGTTGGGCGCCAAGTCGGTCAACCCATGCCATTACCTCGAGCGCCGCGCCATGGCGCGAATCTTGCTCGCTGGGCGCTTCGGCTCGATGGAGCTGGCCAACCGCATGGTGGTGTTCTCCCGCTGAAGGCGCTGGGGTGGGGTGGGGGGGGCGTTGAGGAGGAAATGCGGGGGGCGACTATGAGCATGGTTGGGGTGATGATGACGATGATGATGGTGATGAGGGGGGTAGTTCTGATGACGATGTTGATGATGATGGTGATGGTTATGATGCTGATGCGAATGACGATGCTGCTGATGATGACGATTATGATTACGAGGAAGGTGACGGTGCACGTGGCGATGACGTCGGTGAGTTCGGCGAGCTCTTGGGTGGTTGCGGCGCCCTGGCGATTAGCGCGTTGCCCTGCGCGCGAGCCCTCAGGTGTGGCGCTTGTAGGTGCGCGATTTCTGGGTGAGGTTGTAGATCGCGTGCGTGGTCCCTTGCGATAGGGCTGCTAGAGCAGACCTGGACCAGGACATTTCGCATAGTGTTAAGGCGCCTGGGGGCTCGCCTGTGTTCACAAACATGCAAGAATCATATCATGCATTTGGGCACCCCACTCGCACACACACACACACACACACACACGCACGCACGCACGCACGCACGCACGCACGCACGCACACACACACGCACGCACGCACACACACACACACACACGCACGCACGCACGCACGCACACACACACACCCACACGCACACGCACACGCACACGCACACGAGCACGAACATGCACATGCACACGCACACGCACACACACACACACACACGCACGCACGCACACGCACACGCACACGCACACGCACACGCACACACGCACACACACACACGCACGCACACGCACACGCACACGCACACGCACACGCACACGCACCGGCACCCGCACACGCACACGCGCACGCGCGCGCGCACCTGCACGCGCGCACGCGCGCACACGCGCACACGCGCACACGCGCACACGCGCACACGCGCACACGCGCACACGCGCACGCGCGCACGCGCGCACGCGCGCACGCGCACGCTCGCACACGCGCACACGCGCACACGCGCACACGCGCAGACACGCACACACAAGCACGCACACACAAGCACACACAAGCACACACAAGCACACAAGCACACAAGCACACAAACACGCGCAAGCACGCACAAGCACGCCCACACAAGCACACACACACACACGCACACACACACACCCAAGTCGCACACACACGCGCACACACACACACCCAAGTCGCACACACACACACACACACACACACACACACACGCACACACGCACGCACGCACGCACACACGCACACACGCACACACGCACGCACGCACGCACGCACGATTGCACGCCTGCACGCCTGCACGCCTGCACGCCTGCACGCCTGCACGCACGCACGCACGCGCGCACGCGCGCGCAAGCGCGCAAGCGCGCAAGCGCGCATGCGCGCACGCGCGCACGCGCGCACGCGCGCACGCGCGCAGAGCGCACGAGCGCACGCGCGCACGCGTGCACGCGCGCACGCGCGCACGCACGCACACGCACGCACACGCACGCACCCGCACGCACACGCACGCACACGCACGCACACGCACGCACACGCACGCACACGCACACGCACACGCACACGCACGCACACGCACACGCACGCACACGCAAGCACGCACGCACACGCACGCACGCACACGCACGCACACGCACGCACACGCACGCACACGCGCTCGGGGAACGCTTTTTTCACACGCAACCAGGCTCCCACCTCTTCAGCGCATTTTTCTCACACGCAGCATTTTACCTGCTGATGTTGAATGCGTGCGTGCTCTTCTCATCCAAGATATCTCGGTCCCTCACCACGGTGCTCCCGCTGCAGAGTTGGCCGCGCTTCAAGTTCCGCACACTGCCCCAGTGGTTTGGAATGGCGCTCTCGTTCCGGAGCGGCTCGCATGTCTGGATCCGACTCTTTCCGCGGGCGTAGTCACGGCCTAGTGGTCTGGACCCCCGGGCCGCGACGCCATGGATACGAGGGCACCGCGCGGAACGTATCCATGGGATCACGTATACATGGGGGCCGGCCTCGGAATCCAGATTCGGCGGCGCGCCCAGGGGACAGGTCTTCAGCTTTTCGAGAAGTTGCTTGGTCCGTTTCCGAAGCCGCACACGGTTTCTGAAAAAGCCACATGGCTTCTGAGAAACCCCGCCGCCTTGTGGGAAGGCTTGCCCCCTCTCACTTCCCCCCTTGGCGCGCCGCCGGCAGACCGTGGGGGCATGGATACGGATACGTCTGTCGCCAATTATCTTTCCTCGCCGTTGCCGTCCCCACCGACTTCCAGCTACGCCTCTCCTGCTCCTCCTAGTCCTCCCGCTCCGCCTCGTGATGCTACTCCGTTCCCTGTCATTTCCGTCTTCTTTCCATCTCGTTTCCCTCCTTCCCTCCTCCTCCCTTCTCCCTTCCTTTCCCTCTTGACCTGCAGTTTCCCTCCTTCTCCCTCACTCTTCCTCTTATCCTCCTCTTCCCATCCTCCTCCGAAAAATCAGCGGTGGCCCGGTGGCCCCCGATGCTATATTCTTGCACGATCTCCGACATGGGGCATCATCAACGCCCCGACAAGGGGCAAATAACCAGGCCCAGATGTCGAGGCCCGTCCATTCCCGCCAAAAGCCGACGCAAGTTACCGCGGCCTCTGCTGTTTCCGATACGACCACCTCCGTTTGGGGTGGAAAGGGGGGCCTGGGAAACGGAGGTTCTATGACAGCTGCTGCGTGCGGCGGGTGTCGGGCGGTTTCCGAGGCGACCAGGTCCGTTCGGGGTGGAAAGGGGCGGCTGGTTTCGGTTTCGCTGGCTACGATGCGACTTCAGAGGATTCGATGGTGCACGATCTCCCTGTTTATTTCTTATTCTCCCCGCTCCAAGCGCGTGGTGGCGCCTCTAGATCTTGGGAGCGACAGTCAGCTGCGTGCACGAGATGTTCCAAAGTCTAAGAGCAGAGCACACATGTAAGCACAAGCTTTCGGACGCCCGCGCGAATATCTGGGGTCGGCGCTGAGAACCTCCTGGCGGTGCATATGGCGCCGCACGTGGCGCACGACACGCTCGAGGGGAAGGGGGGGGCAGCGCCGACCCAGGAAGTACGCGCGGACGCCCAGAAGGATCTTTGTATGCCGCACTTGTTTTGGATCGAGTCTCCAGCGACATGAATATTGGGCTACGCGTTTCGCCCCCTAGGGGCTCTTCGAGCCACATTGCCTACCGTGCAGCATCGAACGAGCAACATCGACGATGGGACCAGAGGCGGAGCGCAGAGGTGCAGTGTACAGTGGGGGCTTCAAACAAAACCCAGCTCCCACCTCCGCAAAGCTGCCCCTTGCACAAGGTGTCCCCAGGATCTCCAGGGAGGCCCCCGCGGCCTCCAGATCCGGGAGGGGGAAAGAGTGTCAGTGGCACGCTCCGGTCCCCGCGGCAGCGTGTCCTTGACATCGTGTTCTGCTACCCCACGCATGGGGCCAACGGGGGCCCAGAGGGCTCCAGGTGGCACCAGGAGCTTGGGGGCCACCTCGGGCCAGGAGATCAGCTGCCCTGATACGCCCGTGTTGAAACGCAACACGCTCCGTGTTCAAGGCGTCCGTGTCAGCACGCTGCGTGTTGGCTCGGCACGTGTTGGACCACGTCTTGACGAACGTGCCGCGCCAAACCTGCGCTTTCGGCCTACGCGTTGAGCTCCGTGCCAACACGTTGCGGGTCGCGTTCTGTGCACCAGGGCAGCCAGAGTCAGGAGCAGCTCCTGTGGTCAGGGGTAACGATCGAGGGGGATGAGGCATAGGGACGGATGCATCGACCCCCAATCGCCCATGGATCGCCGATAGGGGTCTGAGGGGCCCAACCCGCCCAGGAAGGTGCGGATTCACTATCGGGGGCCTGTCGCCGATCTATCGGCGATGTAGCGCCGATTCCGGGCCGATGCACCCCCCCTTGTGCCAGTCCCCCCCCCTTCTCGCTGCCCCCCGTGTGGCGGTCCGCCGACGTCTCCGCGCCTCGCCCCGCGCGCGCTGCGCAGGCCGCCCCGCCCCGCGCGCCTGCCTCGCCCGCCCCCCGACGCCGCGTGCCCGGCGCTGACCCTGCGGGCGGCAGGCCGCCCGCCAAGGCTCGGGGGCGGCAAAGAGGGGGGTAATGATTAGGGGGGGGGGGGGACATCATGGTGGGGGCCATGATATTTCCCCAGATTTCACGGCGCCTCTTCTTATTTCATTACGTCCCTGCCCCCCCCGCTGGGCCGCGCACATGCCGCCAGTCATGATTTGCACCCCCCCCTCTTGGACACCACCCTCTTGGCCGCTCCCGAAAGGCCAGAGGGAGGAGAAGCGGCACCAGCACCATCAGGGGGGCCACCTCCGGTGACACGGGTGTTGCTAGAAGTGCACCTGGCCCAAGGTACCCCCAGGGTTCCCGGGATGGCCCAGGCGGCCTCCAGAGCGCCCCTCACGAGACCCAGGGGCCTCCACCACCAGCAGTTGGATGGGGGAAGGAGGAGGAGGAGGAGGAGGAGGAGGAGGATGAGGAGGAGGAGGAGGAGGAGGAGGAGAACCCCCTCCCCCTCCAACTTATGGTGGTGGTGGTGGAAAAGCAGGCCCATCGTCAACAACGCCCGCAGGGCTCCACCTCTGAGCCGCCGACCCTCCTGCTCGGCGCGCGGGCGCGCTGCGGGCGCGAGCCCGCGCCGCGGCGCCAATGCCGGCCGCGCGGCGGCACGGCGCGGGCAGCTACGCGGACATGGAGCCCCCGCGCGAGTGGGAGAGCCCGGGCCACGGGCGCGCCGCGAGACGGACCGCGCTGCTGTTGATTTGCCATGCACCATGGGGGGGGGGGGGGGACGCACGCTCGCTCGACCTCCTCCCCTCTCTCCTCCTCCTCCTCCTCCCTCCTCCTCCTCCTCCTCCTCCTCCTCCTCCTCCCCCTCCTCCCCGACATGCTCGCAGCGTGGCAGAAATCTGGACGGGGCTCGACCTCCTCCTCCTCCTCCTCTTTCTCCTCCTCCTCTTTCTCCTCCTCCTCCTCTTTCTCCTCCTCCTCCTCCGCGGACCTCTGCGTGGTGAGGTCGGTGCAGGTAGCGCACGAGCGCCCCGTGGCGCCAGCGTCCCCCTTTCCAGAAAGTGACCACAACCAGGCCGCACTGCAGTTTCTGAAGGCTCACTGCTCTAGTCGTAGTCCAGTAACCCCAGACAGGCCCGAGAGCTCGATCGATCGATCGATCCTCCTCCTCCCAAACATGCTCGCGTCGTGGCAGAAATCAGCACGGGGCGTTCTTGGTCATTTCCTGGGCTCTGGGGGCCCACGCCAGGCCTCAGGGCCGTTTCAATAACCCCTCGGTATGGCGAACCGGCCCTTGGGACTTCTGGGGACCGCGCTTTCAAAAAACACAATACATACATCTCGGGCCGGACGAAAGTGGGGATTGGGAAAGGGGGGGGGAAGAAATCTGCTGCGTGCAGCTGGTTTCGGCCCCACCGAGGGGCCCATTCATCGTTGCGTGGCCGCCTCCGGCGCCGGGAGGCGCCGGGAAAATCAGCTACGTGAGCTGATTCTTAAACCTCGCCTTTGTTATCCCCCCGTTTCGCCCGGCCCGGACATCGTATGTCTGGAGCATGGGTCGGCCTGCTTCCAGCGAAAATGAGAGGGGTGAGACACAGAAGCGCAGGCTGCCGCCGCGGGCAGCAAGCGGACAGGGCAAGAGCGGCATGCGCCAACAAAGTGTGGTCCCTCTTCAGCCTTGGGCCCCAACGATAAGGAGGAGGAGGAAGAGGAAGAGGAGGAGGCGGCGGATGCGGGGGCGGACGCGGAGGTTGAGGCGGAGGGTGAAGAGGAGAGTGCAGGATGAGTTGCAGGAGGAGGACGAGCATGAGTGTGTCATGACGATGTGGAGGAGGAAGTTGGAGAGTCGGAGCAGCAGGAGGGGAAGGTTTAAAGTGTTTCTAGAGAGGTGTGGGGATTCTGGAAGGCTCTGTGACTTTTTCGGAGTATGTTTTTTTACAGGGAAGGACGGAGATAGGACGTCAAGGAATTAGGATGGATGCGAGAGGAACGAGGAATTTGCAAGGTGGATCGTAGGATGGAGGAGGGAGAACCAGTTATGTTCCGAAGATCGGGAGGGGAGACAAGAAGCGAAGGCTCGGTAGCTGACCTTCGGTGTAGGAAACGTGTGACTGCTTCTGCGCGTCAGCCGGTTGAGAGGTGCTCTGCCCGAGGCAGGTGTCAGCTCCCAGCGTTGGCCGCTCCCGGGAGGGCGGCGCAGAGTGGTCTATTCAACGATCCTGGGTTCTCGCTTGCGAGTTTCATGGCCAATTAGAGGCGACTTGGGGCCGTCTGGGGGCTTCTTGGGCGCATGTTGGATGCCACCTCGCGACCTTCCAGACCACCTGAAGATGTTTTGGGCCATACTGGAGCAATTCTGATTTCAGTGTTCTAGTGTTTAGTTTAGTTTCCCATGGCATAAATGGTAATCGCACGGTTTTGATGTTCACGTGTAGTTACTAAGGTTCCCGAGTGTCTCTGCAAAAGGGAGGGAGGAGCAGGAGGATGAGGAGAACGATCGTTCTCGTCCTCCCTGTGTTGTTGGGCCATCGTTTTGAAACCGCAGAGCCGCGCGTCTCACTCCTCCCCTCCTCCCTCCACACCTTCGAGCAGCCACGCACCTTAGGCAGAAGGCGCCGTCCTCCCTGTAGTAACGCTTGGCAGGTGCGTGGATGCTCAAAAAACGCCCTTCCACCCATCTCCAGGCATTTGCTCGCCGCGTGTTATTTTCAGCACACCCTTCACATGCTTCGTGGCCCCACAGGGAGCTCCACCTTTGGCCCGGCCACGAAGCGTATGAGGCGTGTGCCATAAATGGTGCGGGGCCGCCATGCGGGCACTGCCATTGGGGCCTTCGCCAGAACTCGTCGCAAAACGTGTGAGGGGTGTGCCGAAAATGGCGTGGTGCCGCCATGCGAACCCGGCCCTGGGGCATCCGGTGGAACTCGTTATGGGGCCGTGGAGCGTGTGAGAGGTGTGCCAACATGTGGAGGGGCTGCCATACGGGCGTTGCCACGGGGACCTGCCGTGGAGTTCCGTATGGGGCCACGAAGCGCGTGATGAGTTTTCTCCACATGAGGCGTGGCCGCCATGCTGGCGCTGCCACTTGGTTCTTCACTGGAGCTTCGATAAGGCCACGAAGCGTGTCAGGGGTGTGTCTGCGCGCGATTGGTGATGATAGTGATGGTGATGATGGTGACCACGATGATGAGGTTGAGGATTGCGATGAGGACATGCGGAGGGCGAGGCAGGGATGGGAGGAGGGAGGAGTGGGGGAGGGGAGGAGGAAGGGGACGCGGGGCGCTGCTGATTCAGAGGGGAGACCCAACACCACAGGTCGATTGTGGACAAAGCAGCCTCAGGAAACGTTTGAGCGCACCCCGAGCCATGGTCCCAGCCCTGCCCCTCTGCCGCATCCTCCGCCTCTTCTCCCTCGCATTATTCCTCTATCCTCTGCATCCTTCCTCAGCTTCCTCCCCTTCCTCCTTTTTGTCCCGACCCATCAAGAGCCATCGACTGATTTTTGTTCGAGGCAAGTTTCCTTATGGCGTGTCTGCTGCTGTTGCACCATGGCGATCCAGAGGTCCCCCCCACCCTGGGCAAAGAGTTCTCGAGTTGGGTCCTCGCTCTCGAGCTGGAGGCGTTCTCCAAGTTGGGCCTTCTTCCCAGGATGACGTCCTCCAGTACGCTGGTCGAGGCCAACAGCCCAGGCTTAGGGATATGCCTTTGCTTGCTGCCTAGGTTGCCGGGCCTTCTTCGGTCGGTTGATAGGGCTGTTCGCTGGTGGCAGTCATTATGCGTTCATGTCAAGTTCCTTCTCAAACTTGTGCCGCCCGACTCTTACGCCACGGTTCCACTCCAGCTCGAGCTTGCCCACGCTGCCCAGTTTCGGGTGACCTGGATTTGGCTCTCGCCGTGCGATGCGCAGCTAATGGGGGCTTCTTGTATTTGGTCGGTGCGTTTTGGGAATCTGTCTTCCACGGCCATGGATGGGCTTGAGGAGTTGATCCAGGAGTTGAGGTAGGCCACCGAGATATCTCACCGTGAGGCCCTCATGTCTCACAGTGTTCGTGGCAAGCATGGTTGAAGAACGTTCTTTGTTGCAGTGCAGGCCCTGCCCACGAGCTCTCGCGTGTGACAGCTGGCCCGTTACTCTCAAACGGCATTTGCGATGATTGTTTTCGTCCGTCTCGGGATCAAATTTTGAGGTTCGGAGCGAATGCGTGGTCAACCATGTGGCAGCACAGTCTAGAGGGGGCCCGAAGTGCGCTAGCTAGCCCGCGTAAGCGTGCGAAGGAGTCGCCGTGTTTACCAGCGACAAGCCTCGAGTAACTCAACGGAGCCCTCGCTTCCATGCCAGATGCATGGGGGACATTCTTCACGGAATCGAAGAGCAGTGCACGACTCCCTTTCAGCAGCTGGTTTCGCTCAGTGCTTTGATTCCTAAGCCCGACGGGGGTCAGAGACCCATCGCCTTTTCGGCGTCATCTACTCCCTCCACCTCCGCATGAGGAATACACACATCACCCAATGTGACCGTGAGGCTCACGGGCCATGGGATGCCATTGTAGGAGGGGCGGTCGATGCTACTGGGTGGAGCGACGAGTTGGAGACTGAGTTCGCCCTCCATTCAGTCTTTCAGGTAGGAGGGCTTTTGTTAAGACATGAAGGAATACTATGCTCAGGTACGTTTCGAAGACATAGTTGAGGCCGCTGTTTCTCTTCGCTACCCCTGGCAAATGCTGCTGCTAGTGCCCGTCATCGACATGTACTCAAGAGTTCGACACTTTTCTCTCGAAGGGGCGCTGCACACAGGCATCCCGTCACATGGTAGTCTGCTAGCGAGGTGCGGTCAGGCCACCCCAACATCCAGCTCTGGACTCAGGCTTCGCGAGTGGGTTGATGATGTTTCTGCTGGGGTGTTTGGCACGCGCGCTAGTATTTCAGCCACCTTCCCCACTCTCGGAGCCCTCCTGGCCAGCCTTAGGCGACGCCGCTGTCAGCTTTCATTTGCGAAGTCCCACTTGCTGGCGTCCTCGCCTGGTCTTCGAGCTGAGTCTTCTGGGGCGGTCTCAGCGGAGGGCTGTGACTTTTTGATTTTTTCGGCGACCAGGGACTTGGGACACGAGACGGTTCTTCGAGGGCGTCGCATTGTGGTTGTTCGTGAGGTCTGGTTCTCCAAAGGGAGGTTTACCAGGAATCGGGCGTTTCTTTTCTCCAGTACCAATCGCCTGGCTAGCGAACTGTTTTACCTCAAAGCTTTTGCTAAGGCCATGTGGGCGCCCGAGCTGCAGGGGGTGGCAACGTCCACATTGAGGGGGCTTCGGAGCATGGCCCGTGCCCGTGCAGCCAGCAAGACCCCCCAGCGTGGATGTTCCTCCTCTTCAGCTATCAGACTCACGTTTGGCTTGGGCTCAGATCCTGTACAGATGTACTATCTTAACATGGTTAAGTCATTGTTCTCACGTATCCCTGGCAATGTGTGAATTTTCATCAGCGCCTGACCGGATTTGGGGATGCCTCGATTGATAAGGCTCGTCGGGGATGGCTCGGGGTCCGATGGTCGATGGCCGCGTTCCAGGCCTCCCTGCTTGCCGTGGGATGGGCCTGCCCTTCCCTTTTCTCGCCTGTCTCGCCCTCTGAGGACTCCTGGGAAGTGAAAGCGGACGGCCGCGGACCTCGGGGACCCCCTTGCAGAAGCCTTCGATGAGTCCGTCGACGAGCTCCAACGGAACCAGGCTGCTGAGCATCTCGACGGCAAAGGAGTCCAGGGTCCTGTGTCGCGTCTCCACGGTTGGGAGCTTATCATGTCCTTTGGGAGAGATGGCCGTCGAGATGCCGGTTCTACGGTCAGGTTGATCGTTGCCGGTGGGTGTTGGACGGAGGAGAGGAGGCATGTTGCTCAGTTAGCCCCCGGCCCCTTCTGCCGACGATGCAAGCGTGACCCCGAATCTTGTGTCCATCGTTTTCGGCCTTGCATGTGCAATGGCTCCTCTTCTATTCCTGACGCTGCTGACTCTCAGTGCTTGAGGCCAGGCAGCACGCCAGGAATCTTCTGAGTTCCCTTGTTTCCGGATCCGTGTGCTCATCCCACTCTCCTGGTTTAGGTTGCCGCCCCTCTCGCAGCCCCATGAGCTCCGTGGCCGGCGTGCTCCTGGTCTCCTTGAGGTTGGTTCGCTTCAGGGGGGGTTGTACGGCACCGATGGCTCTGGGGGACCCTACAGCAAGAACCCAGCCTTGCGTTGGGTAGCTTTCTCATTTCTCAGGATGGTTCCTGGCTCGGACTACCGCGAGGACTGTGCGGTGAGGGGGGGTGGGGAATCCAAGCGCCACATTGTTTCCCGTGCAGAGCTTGCGGCCACTGTTGGGTGTCTCAGACTTGTCAGCCCAGCTAATGACCTGCACGTGGTCACCAATCACCATAAAACAGTCAATGCTTTTTCGGCAGGCAAGGGGCACTCGTCGACCCTGGCCAACTACGGCCTGTGACGGGAGTTCCTGGGAGTTGCTTGAGTTGAATCCCGTGCCGACTCTGCCCGCCTCTCTCACATCCCATCCCGCATCCTTGAGGATGCGCAGAAGTATGCCAGTCTCGGCGACGTTGGTAATGGGGACCACGTCCTGAGTCCTGTAGCGGATTTCTTTGTGGACGAGTTTCCGAAAGCAAGTCCCTCCCGATGTGGTTGCCGATCGTAATGATTTAGTTATGCAAGTTTGCACGGTTCTCAAACGTAATGCGAGTGTTGTGTTCGACCTTGTCTCCCCGTTTTTCCCTCTTGCACCGCCCCCGTCTATCTATTTCGCTGGCGCAGCCAACTCTGCCTGGCCGTCGGCGAACAAAGTGTTGTGTGTTGACCGTGCGGCTCTCACGCCAAACCCGACCGCCGTTGATCTAAGCCTCTAAGCAGCCAGTCGATGCTGCGCTCAGGCGCAGCAGCTGGATCGAGGCCGATGTCCGTGCCAGTCCTCGTGCGTAAGATTCCTCTCATGACAGTTTGTCTCATACCTTGTGCCAATGGGGAGTCAAGGACACCGCCCCCTCTCTCCGCGCTCGCCTGTCTTCCACCTGCCTCGCTACCTTGCGGGAGGGGACGGGACTGTGTGTGCGTGTGTGCGCGCGTGTGCGTGCGAGAACATGTGCGTACGTAGAGGCGTGAGGGAAGGTCATTCGCGAACGAAGTGGGCTCGCCCAGGCAGGTCTCCCCCTTTTCATGACGATTCCTTGTGGAGATCCCTGCAGTTGGATCGCTTGCCTGCCAGAGCTCCCCCCTTGGATCTCGGGCCAGGCTGTGAACGTCTCGCTTGCTAAGGACGGCCACCTTTTACGTGTGTGGCGAGTGCGGGTCCGCAGGATTGCAAAAAAAAAATTCTTTTTTGCAATCCTTGGTTTTTTTTGCAATCCTTCGGCCAGGGGCTCACCCCGTCTTTCACTCGACGGGGGCGCTGTCCCGTGGGACGCGCCTGGGCCCCACGCGGTGACCACTGGTCCGTTGGAAGTCCTGCACCGCCTCGGCAGAGGTCTCGGGGGTGGACAGAACCCCCAACAGTGACACGTCGATTAGTGAATTGCCCGTTTTCGGTTCTCGAGAGGGCGCCGTGGCCGTTATTTTCAAGGCCTGCGCCCGCCAGGTTTGGGCCTCAGGTCGTTTTCACTAAACCACGTTTTACTAAAGGGAGGTTTGTCCATCCCCGAAGGTCTCTCCCCAGCAAGAAGCTCCCGGCCTGGCCCCAAGCCGTGCAGCCCGTTGTGGAGGCGGAAGTTTGCCATGAATATGGGGTTGGCGGAGGAGGAGTCGTTCGTGTCCGAGGGGGCCGCGCCCTTTCCCGTCCCTGCCGAGCCCTCCCCCTTTCGGGCCCTTCTGGGCGTGATCGAGTCGAGGCTCTGAGGCGGGTGGAGGACGAGCATCCCCTCGTGGGTTGTCCTGGGGACTCCGAGGGGGAGTCTTCTGGGATGTTCTGCCCCCGCAGCCAGTCCCTGACAGCTCTCTGCCCTTGGAGCCAGGGTGTCAGCGCTGCACTGCAAACTCCTCCTCCCTTCCTTGTTCCTCTTCTTCCTCCTCCTCCTCCTTCTTCTCCTCCTCCCAGTTTTTTAGCCAAGTGATGGTCCTCCTCCTCCCAGTGAGAGTGCGAGGGCATAAGCCCCCTGGCACAGTTTGCACGGCCCGCGCTCACCGGAGGAGAAGAGGGTCAGCCAAAAACAAGAATCTTCCTCCTCCTCCTCCTCTTCCGTATTGCTGCCGCTCCTCCTCCCCTTCCTCTTGCCTCCTCCTTCTCTTCCTGTCTCCTCCTGTGGCGCCCTCCTCGTCCTCCCCATCCTCCTCGTCCCTCCCCTCTTCTTCGGCTTCCTCTTCTGTCTCCTCCTTCCCCTCCGCCCTCCCTCTCCCCAGGGGGCCCGACAGCATCGAGGGGCCCGCGTCGAAGGAGGCGAGGGCGAAGCCGAACGGCCTGGCCCACAAGTTCTTCTTCGGCCTGGTGGCTCTCCTGCTCCTGATGTGTTTCTTTTCGTCGGCCGCTCGCGGGCAGGAGGGGGGAGTCGGCGGCGAGCCAGGGGGGGGAAATGAGAAGGAGGAGGCTTTCCTTTCCAGCGGGGCATCTCAGAAGCCTTCCGGCCCCCTGAGAAGTGTTCTGTGTCTTCGGGGGGGGGGGCTTGGAAGACTTCTCAGAAGGCGGGGGGGGGGGGGGACTTCCGAACCTTCTGAGAAGGCCCGCCCTCTCTCACTTCCACCCAGGGCTGGCCGCCGACTGAGATCTCGGGAAGGGGGGGACCCCCTCGAGTCGCGAGAAGATCGCGGCGGGAGGTTTGTGGCCATATTCGGCCTTCGGGTGCCTTCGGCGGCCCCCCGGGCTGTAAACCAACGGCCCGGAAGAAAGAACTGGTCCCTGGGAGGGGTGTCGAGATTTCGGAGGGGGATGAGGACCCAGAGTGGTAAGGCTTCGGGCTCCAGGAACCTTGATACATCTATATATATATATATATACATATATATATATATAGTGGAAGTTGTTCTGCATAGGTGCGCGAACGTGAGACGTTCAACGACATATGTACACTCTGGCTCGGGAGATGGCCGCATACCTTAGTTTAGTGTATGCATATGTGGATCCCATCCTCCCCGTTGCTCCGCTCCTTCTGTCCTCCTGATCCCATTAGCCCCCCATCCTCTCCTACAGCATGAATGAAGGCCTCGAGCCGAGTTTTTAATTGGAACGTTTGTGTCGTTTGTTTTCGGGCCCTCCACCTTGGAATGCTCTTTGTGTGGATATCTGCCGGGGGCCTTGGGCCTGCGGCAAAAGGGCCCATGCTCTTCTGCCAAGCCCTTGTGGCCATGTTACGACCGATGCAGTTCTCTTGACAGTGCGGGGCTGACGGTTCTCCCTTGTGCGAGACTCCGCTGAATCGAATGTGTCACTCGCGAGCTGCATGCAATGGCGAACGGAAACCCGCAGCGGACTCGGACATCTGCAGTGCAACGCTTCTGCCCGCAGGCTGCCCACTGGTGCCAGGGGCCCGGCGTTGCGCCGAGATGCCTCAGGTGGTCCGTTCATGATCGGCTATCTGGCAAAAGGTGAGTGGAAGCATTGCCCCAACACCTATCCCGGTCCCCATCCTTTTCCTTCTAAGCCGTCCACCCATCGTCTATGGATCTCTCGACCCTCGTGCCCCGTCCAGGGCCGCTGGAGAGCGGGTCGGGAACACAGAGGAGAGGCGGAGGAGGGGGAAGAGGACGATGACGACCCGACCCCTTCACGTCATGGAAATACGGTCGGGAATTTTTGCTTAGCGTGTCACCCCGCCAGTTCCGGCCCACCACGTTTCGGCGCGGCACACTCACCGTTTCCCGACCGAGCCTTTCCCAGCCTTCCAACACGCAGAGCGGAGCAACGCGCTATCCGTTTCAAAGGCACAGCGTGTCGCCTGCGCCGCCGAGGTTAGCTAGGCAAAAGTTCCCGATTGTATCGCGTCAAGTTGCGGCTTCCGGGGGTCCTCATTTGACCCCAGGGCCGTTCACATTATTTTGGCGAAGGATCCAGCATTATGCAAGAGTGAATCCCGACATGCAGGTGAGACGCTTTCGGTACGGTTCCCTATGGGGACACGACGAGTGTGAGGAGTGTGCCGAAACTGGCGGGGAGCCTTATGTGGACGCACACACAGGGGCCTCCGGTGCAGCTCGCTATGGCGATACGAAGCGTGTCGAAATGGGCGTGGAGCCACATGTGGACGCACACGTTGGGGCCTTCGGTGGAGCTCCCTCTGGGGCCACGGAGTGTGTGAGGGGTGTGCCTAAATGAGCGGGGGGCCGCATGTGGACCCTCGCACTTGGGCCTTCGGAGGAGCCTCCCGTGGGGCCACGAAGCGTGTGAGGGGTGTGCCGATATGGGTGCGGTGCCGCCATGCGAACCCTGCCGCTGGGTCCTCCGGTGGAGCTTCTCGCGGGGCCACGGAGAAGAGTAAGGGGTGTGCCGAACTGGATGCGATGCCGCCCTGCGAGCCTTGCCATTTGGGCCTTCGATGGAGCTCCCTTGCGGACCCACGAAAAGTGCGAAGGGAGAGGGACATCGGCAAGGTGCCGCCATGCGAACCTTGCCACTGGGGCTTTCGTTGGAGCTCCCTGTGGGGCCACCCTTTCGGTGGCGCTCCCCATGGAGCCACGAAGCATGTGATGAGTGCGCCGAAATGGGTGGGGAGCCGCATGTGGACGCACCCACTGGGGCCGTCTGTGGAACTTCCATGGGGCCACGAAGCGTGCGAGGGGTATGCCGAAATGGGCGGGGAGCCGCATGTGGACGCACCCACTATGGCCTTCCGTGGAGCTCCCTTGGAGGCCTTGCAACGTATGAGCGGCATGCCGACCAACGTGGGCGGGGTGCCGCCATGCCAACCCTGCCGCTGGCGCCGTGGGTGGGAGCTCCCCACGGTGCCACGGAACAAGTGAGGGGTGTGCCGAAGTGGATGCGATACCGCCATGCGAACCTTGCCGTTTGGGCCTTCGTTGGAGCTCCCTTTGGGGCCACGAAGCGTGCCAGAAAGGGGGACATGGGCGCCGGTGAGTGATGGTGGTGATGATGATGATGATGATGATGATGCTGATGCTGATGCTGATGCTGATGCTGATGGTCATAATCATAATCATAATCATAATAATGATGATAATGATGATTCTGCTACTGCTGCTGATGATGATAATGGTGATGATGATGCTGCTGATGATGATGGTGGTGGTGATAACGATGATGATGATGATGATGACGACTTTGATTACCTTGGTGATCGTGCTGGTGTTGGTGACGACGATGCCGGTGGTGACGATGATGATGATGATGTAGGCCGATCATGATGGTGTTGATGTTGATGGTGTTGGTGACGACGATGATGATGACGATACCGATGACGACGGAGATGTTGATGATGTTGATGATGATGCTGATTACGATGATGATGGTGATGATGATGATGATCATAATGATGATCATATGTAATGGTGATGGTGATGATGATGCTGATGATGATGATGCTCATAGTGATTATGATCATGCTAGTGATCGTGATGATGATGCTCATGGTGATGCTGATAATAATGATGCTGATGATGATGATAGTGATGAAGATGAAGATGGTGCTGATGATGATGACGATAAAGATGAAGGTGAAAACCACGACGCTTTACCAGTTCCGTCACCAGCAGAACCCCTTAAAGCCGAGAAGCGAAATCTGATCCTTATCAGGGTGACGCCGTCAGTGCCGATCTGGCGCGTGTCGATCCATCAGCAAGCAGCAACGACGGGGGAGGCCCCGAGGGGCACAAGGGCGAGCAGGGGGCCATGCGGCCATGCCAAGCAACGAGAGGCGATCGGCGCGCGCCCCAACTTCCGCAAGCGGGAGCAGGGAGCGCACCGTTGACCAACCCGCCGCAAGGTACAGCCCCCCGAGGGGTGGAGGAGACGCCAACGGCGGATGAGGAGCGGGAAAGGCGAGAGGAGCGGAAGAGACGAACGACGGACGACGACGACGACGAACGAAGACGACAGCAGAAGGGATCGCTATAGGCGGAAAAGATCAAAGAGCAAGCTAGCTGCCCGAACTCGGGCGGGAGGGTGAACCACACTGTAAATAAGCACCAAACAACAAAACACCTCTCCAGGAGGCGGAGGAGGGAGGAGGGAGGACAAAAGGGCGCCTACAAAAAACCCTCGTCTTCCTCGGCGAGGACGTCCTGGGCAGCTGCGCCCGCTCCCCCGGCAGGGACTTCCTCCAGGTGCCGCCGGAGGACGGCGCGAACGGAAGCCCTCCGGATAGCCACCGACAGCTTCCTGGTTCCGAGACGCGTCGCTGCTGCGCCCGGCTCCTCGCCCAGGCGCGCGTCACCGGCCCGTGCTAAGCGGCGGAGCGCTTCGGCCCCCGTCGGGCCCCAGCCGCTCGTAGGCTCTGCGACCAAAGGGATGAAGAGAATGCCCTGTTGCCTGCAGTGGACCTCCGTGTCGAGGTGGGTGCGTTTGACCACCACCTACGCGCTTGCAGCGCATCCGATCCCTTGCCGAAGGCGCGGTCGTCGTGTGGGCGCGGTGGCAAGAGCCCCTGCCTCTCCAGGTCTGCGTTGCAGCCGGCTGCGGCGGCGGCAGCTTTGGGTTGAAGGTGAATCTGATGATGATGACGATGGTGATGATGTTGATGATGATGACGATTATGATGCTGGTTATGGCGGCAGCGGCGGTGATGAGGGTGCTGCTGCTGCTGATGATGGTGATGGTGATGCTGATTATGATGGTGATGGTAGTGATGCTGATGATGATGATGATGATGATGATGATGATGATGATGCCAGCGGTGACGATCATGATGCTAGGGGTGCTGACGACGACGATGAATGTGATGATGTTGGTGATGGCGGTTCACGCTGATGATGACGGTGATGCTGCTGTTGCCGCTGTCGCTGCCGATGATACTGATGATGCTGCTGCCGATCATGATGATGCTTATGATGATGATGACGACGAGATGACGATGGCGATGCCGATATCGACGACAATGACGACAACGATGAGGAGGACGGTTGGCGGGGGAGGCGCGTGCGTAGGGCAGGTGCAGTGATGGGCGGAGGTTGGACGGGGAGGTGTGGGTAAGTGAGGACGCGGGGCGCTGCGGTTTGAAACCGATGACCCAGCAACGCGTGATTTCGGGAAAGCCAATTCGGGACGAAACGCTAGAGTCCCGAAGTGAACGACGGAAGAGGACAGGGTCGTCTTCACGGACATGGCACGAAAGTTGCCCGCGTAAGGTCGCGCGCGGGCGCCCGCGTTTCCACTGCTGCGTGCCACGCTGGCGGCCTGCGTGAGCCACCGAGAGGTCGCTGTGCCATCCCGCGTAAGACTCGTTTTGTGGTTGTCGCTCGTTTTTCCCAGAAGGGGCTCCGTCCCAGGGTTCTCTTTTAGTATTTGTACCCTGTTCCGACTTGAAGGAGGCCAGCGGAATCATTTTGCAAAAACAAAACGAGTTTGAAGGAGGCCGGCGGGATTGATTTTGAGGAAGTCTCGAGCGAAACGCTTGTTTTTCAGAATTTGTTGAGGATGTCTCGAGCGAAACGCGGGTTTTGCAGAGTTGGGGGGTGTCTCGAGCGAAACGCTTGTTTTTCAGAATTTGTTGAGGATGTCTCGAGCGAAACGCTGGTTTTGCAGAGTTTGGGTATCTAGCATGGCGTCGGGCCCCACTCCGAAGTATGAGGAAACGCACGGGTGGCCGAAACGCGGTACCCGAACATATGTCCCAATGCCTCTCCAGGGAAGACGTTGCGAGGATGTCTCGAGCGGGAGCGCGAATTCAGCGTATCCAGGTCACGCATGGGGGGATCTAACATGGCTGTCCCGAGCTGAAACCACGTGTTTTTTCATGCTCAGGCCACCCAGGGAGATCTCTAACATGATTCTCCCGAGCTGGAAACACGTGTTTTTGCGTGTCCAGCCCACCCAGGGGGTATCCAATATGGTTGTCCCGAGCTGTCACCGTGTTTTTACGTGTCCAGGCCACCAACACGACGCTTGTCCCCAGCACGTTCTGTAGCGCGTCCCCTTGGCATGTCCCGCGGTGCGTCCCCGTGGCACGTCCCCTGGCACGTCGCCTGGCGCGTCCCTTGGAACGTTCCGCGGCGCGTCTTCCTGGAATGTTTCCTTGTCAATTAGCTCTGGGGCAGCTACTATGTGGACTATGTGCTCAAGCAGCTCGAGCCTAAGATCGAGATCAGTTCGGTCAGGACTCGGATGCAACGGAGGACCCGATTTACAATGCTATAGAGCACAATCGTGGCATGGCACATCGCAGTGCAGCACGGCGCAGCACAGCACAGCCCTCGGCACGGTACATCAAGATCGATATACTCACTCAGCATTGCAACCTGGCACGCTCCTTGGCACGTTCCGTGGCGCGTTCCGTGGCGAGTCCCCCTGGCACGTCGCGCCGCGCGTCCCCTGGCACGTCCCGTGGCACGTACATTGGCACGTTCCGTCTCGCGTCCCCTTGGCACGTCCCGCGGTGCGTCCCCATGGCACATCCCCCTGGCACGTCGCCTGGCGCGTCCCTTGGAACTTTCCGCGGCGCGTCTTCCTAGCATACCCCCCTGTGAATTAGCTGTTGGGTAATTGCTATGTGCTCAGGCAGTTCGAGCTTAAGATCCAGATCAGTTCGATTAGGACTCGGATGCAAAGGAGGACTCGATCCACAACGCTATAGAGCACAACCGTCACGTGACACATCGCAGTTTAGCACGGCTCAGCACAGCACTGCCTTCGGCACGGTACATCAAGATCGATACACTCAGCATTGCAACTTGGCGCAATGTTTGGTACGTTCCGTGGCGCGTCCAGTGGCGAGTCCCCCTGGCACGTCGCGCCGGGCGTCCCCTGGCACGTCCCGTGGCACGTCCATTGGCACGTTCCGTCTCGCGTCCCCTTGGCACGTCCCGCGGTGCGTCCCCATGGCACGTCCCCCTGGCACGTCGCCTGGCGCGTCCCTTGGAACTTTCCGCGGCGCGTCCAGTGGCGAGTCCCCCTGGCACGTCGCGCCGCGCGTCCCCTGGCACGTCCCGTGGCACGTCCATTGGCACGTTCCGTAGCGCATCCCTTCGACACGTCCCGCGGTGCCCCCTGGTACGTCGCCTGGCGCGTCCCTTGGGACGTTCCGCGGCGCGTCCTCCCTATCAATTAGCTCTGGGGCAGCTACTATGTGCTCAGGCAGCTCGAGCTTAAGATCCAGATCAGTTCGGTCAGGACTCGGATGCAAAGGAGGACTCGATCCACAACACTATAGAGCATAATCGCGGCATGGCACATCACAGTTCAGCACGGCTCAGCACAGCACAGCCCTCGGCACGGTACATCAAGATCGATACACTCAGCATTGCAACCTGTCACATTCCGTGGCGCGTCCCGTGGCGAGTCCCCCTGGCACGTCGCGCGGCGCGTCTCCTGGCACGTCCCGTGGCACGTCCATTGGCACGTTCCGTCTCGCGTCCCCTTGGCACGTCCCGCGGTGTGTCCCCATGGCACGTCCCCTGGCACGTCTCCTGGCGCGTCCCTTGGAACGTTCCGCGGCGCGTCCTCCTGGCATGTTCCCCTGTCAGTCAGCTCTGGGGCAGCTACTAGTTATGTGCTCAGGCAGCTCGAGCTTAAGATCCAGATCAGTTCGGTCAGGACTCGGATGCAAAGGAGGACTCGATCCACAACGCTATAAAGCACGATCGTGGTATGGCACATCGCAATTCAGCACAGCACTGCACAGCACAGCCCTCGGCACGGTACACCAAGATCGATACACTAAGCATTGCATTTGCCCGTCGCCCAATCAGGTGTCTTTGAAACGCTGCCATGTAATACATTTCTATATTCCTTTCCGACTTCGTGGGTCGATCATGTTCTGCTCCAAGGGTCGGGGGCGGCAAAGAGGGGTGTGATGACTAGGGGGGGTGGATATCATGGCGGGGGCCTTGATATTTCCCCAGATTTCATGGCGCCTCTTCTTATTTCATTACGTCCCGGTTCTCAGGGACGACGGCGGCGCCGCCGCCATCGCCGCGCCGAGGTCGTCCGTCCCGAGCTGGGCCTGGCCCGACCTCCATCTCGGCGGCGGCGGCGGCGCGAGGGTCTCCAGCGGCGGCGAGAGCCAGGCCGGGCGCCGCGTGCCATCGCAGCGCCGCCGCCTTTCGCTTCCGCCGGTTTTGCCATTGTGTTTCGAAGATCTCGCATGATCTCAATGTCCAGACGCTTCGCGTAACCCTACATGCCCATCCAGGAACGATGCCAAGGCGAGTTGCCCTGATCAGGCATGTGGGGGAGCATGCAGTGAAAGAAAGACTGGGAAGCAGTCATACCTCAAGAGGTGGAGAATGGATGCTGATGATGATGGTGGTGATGATTAAAATGATGACGATGATTATCTTGATGGTGATGATGATGATGCTGATGCTGATGATGATGTGCTGATGTTGATGATGTTGATGATGACGATGACGAAGACAATGACCATGGCGATGATGATACTGATTATGATGATGACGATGATGATGGTAAGTATGATGTTGATGATGCTGGCGATGATGATGATGGTGTTGCTGATGATGTTGTTGATTACGATGGTGATTATGCTGTCGATGATGGCTCTTGGTGATTATGGTGATGATGATAATGATGATGAGTATAATGATGTTGATGGTGATGATCATGACGATGATGTGTATGCTGATGATGCTGGTGATGATGCGGAGTATGATGATGATGTTGATAATGATGGTGCTGCTGATGATGTTGATGCTGCTGATGCTGATAATGGTGCTCATGTTGCTGATCATGATGCTGATGATGATGATGCTGATAATGATGATAATGACGATGCTGATGCTGCTGTTGATGATGATGCTGCTGATGATGATGCTGATGATGATGATGATGCTGATGATGATGATGATGCTGATGATGATGATGATGATGATGATGATGATGATGTTGATGGCGATGACAGTGATGATGCTGGTGGTTGGGGTGGTGAGGATGAGGAGGAGGAAGAAGATGAGTACGAAGATGAGGAGGAGCAGGGGGAGGAGGAGGAGGAGGAGGAGGAGGAGGAGGAGGAGGAGGAGGAGGAGGAGGAGGAGGAGGAGGGGGAGAGGAGGAGGAGGAGGAGGAGGAGGAGGAGGAGGAGAGGAGGAGGAGGAGGAGGAGGAGGAGGAGGAGAGGAGAGGAGGAGAGGGGAGGGGGAGGGTAATGAGGAGGAGGAGGGAGGAGGGAAGAGGGAGGATTGGTGTGATAAGGAAGATGACATGGAAGACGGCGAACAGACAGGCCAGAGGATTCTTGGATGCTTCTCGGAGCCGCTTCTCTTCAGATGTCTCTTGAGAGCTTCGTATCGGCCTTTGGGGGCGTCTTGAGGGCCTCGTGGCGATCCTGGGGGCCTCTGGGGGCGTCTTGGGTGCCTCGGGGGGGGGGGGCTCTTGAGGGTCTTTTGGGAGCCTCTTCGGGGCATCTTGGGGACGTTTTGTGGGCCTCCTGGGGCCCCCTGGGCGCTTCTTGGGGCCGTCTTGGGGCATCCTTGGGAGTCTCAGGGAGGTGATCGATCAAAGAACGGGCCGTACTCGATTAGCGTTGCCCCCCAGGCGGCCAACATGGCCCCAAGACTAGTGTAACATTAAGGCCTTCTCGCGGAGGCCATCTTGGACGGTCTAATTGGCCGCGACCCACCCCCTTCCAGACCCAGGGAAGGCGGTAGGGGGAGGGGTCAAGGCACCCACTTGCCCGCAAGCCGTCTGGTTCACTCCCACCCGCCCCCCCTACGTATAAGTAACACCCGAGCCTGAGCATGTTCACGCCACGCGTGCCAGGGGCGCCACGCGCGCCAGGCACCCCTGGGGCCCGAGCGTGCCAGGCACAGGCACGCCTGGTGCGCCAGATGCGCCACGTGCTCCGATTGCGCCAGGTGTGCCGCGCCGCGCCAGGTGCGCCGCGTTCGGGGCACGTGCAGAGTGCGTCAGGTGCGCCTGCGCACTTGACAGCACACATCGGGGTACATGTCGGCCCCCGCCGTCCATGTCGAAAACCGATGCCCCTAATTGTGTCTGCTGGGCCTGCGCACAGCAGACCACGCGCCACCACCCCCGCCGTCCATGTCAAAAACCACTTGACAGTGATCGCGGGATGGCCGAGCATGACCAGATTTAGCCGCGAGGTGCATGTTGTATTGTAGGGGTGGTAGCCTTGCGCGCAGCAGAGGGTATGCTGACACCCCCGCCGTCCTTCTCAAAAACAATACGAAGTGCTCGCGGGCCTCACGAACATGACTCAAGACTTTGCCCCAAAGTGTACTTTGCATGATTTTTGACAGGGATGGTGTGGGGGGAGCATCGGGTTGGCCGCGCATGCTCCCAATGTGGAGCCAGAGTGCGGTTTATATTGTTCCCGGAAAGGGTGCAGGTCCAGAATTTTCTTTTAGTTGGTTTATTCCCCCCTGGGAGAGGGCCGGCAGATTTCCGCTCGATCAAAAAACGAGGTAAAGTCAAATGCGGCGTGAAAAAATAGGTTTCGCGCGTGCCCGTTCGAGGAAAGTCGACCCCCCACCGCAGATCCTAGATAAGCAACGGGGTCCGCGGACCCCCGTTTTCCCTTGCAGAAAAGAAGGTGCGGGGTATTTTTTAGCAGAGTCCTAGAAAAAAGTCTGGAGCCCCGACCGAGGCGCGGAAAAAAGCGCCCCGCGCGCAGGAGTTCCGAGGAGTTCTCGCGCGTGCCGCGTCCCGCGCGCAGGAATGTCGAGGATGTCTCTACTGATTTGCATGTTCTTCCAGGATTTAGTTTAGAGTACACTTTTTCCCGGAAAGGGCGTGGGCCCAGGGTTCTCTTTTAGTAGGTAAACCTGTCCCCCGGTGCCAACTTGAGGGAGGCCGGCGAATTTTTTCCCTGATAAATAACGAGGTCGAAGGAGGCCGGCGAATTAAAATTTGAGGATGTCTCGAGCGAAACGCTTGTTTTTGAAATCCCGATCGATAAATCACAGGGTGCGGGCCACTTTTTCCCGGAAAGGGCGTGGGCCCAGGGTTCTCTTTTAGTAGGTAAACCTGTCCCCCGGTGCCAACTTGAGGGAGGCCGGCGAATTTTTTCCCTGATAAATAACGAGGTCGAAGGAGGCCGGCGAATTAAAATTTGAGGATGTCTCGAGCGAAACGCTTGTTTTTCCCGGAAAGGGCGTGGGCCCAGGGTTCTCTTTTAGTAGGTAAACCTGTGTGCCCCCGGTGCCAAAGGGAGGCCGGCGAATTTTTTCCCCCCTCTACCCCAGCACGACCACACCCCAGCACGACCCCAGCACGACCCCACCCCAGCACGACCCCACCCCAGCACGACCATACCCCAGCACGACCACACCCCAGCACGACCCGACCCCAGCACGACCCTACCCCAGCAGACCACACCCCAGCACGACCACACCACACCCACAGCACGACCACACCCCAGCACGACCACGCCCCAGCACGACCACGCCCCAGCACGACCACGCCCCAGCACGACCACCCCCAGCACGACCACCCCCCAGCACGACCACCCCCCAGCACGACCACCCCCAGCACGACCACACCCCAGCACGACCACTCCCCAGCACGACCACACCCCAGCACGACCACACCCCAGCACGACCACACCCAGTCGCACCCCCGTGGAATGTTTCGTGGCGTGTCTGGTTGAGTGGTTGCCTGTTCGTGGGGTGTCTCGTGGAATGTTTCACGGGGTGTCTCGTGGAATGTTTCGTGAGGTGTCTCGTGGAATGTTTCGTGAGGTGTCTCGTGGGATGTTTCGCGGGGTGTCTCGTGGGATGTTTCGTGAGATGTCGCCCAGTTGGGTATCGTGAAAACGTGACCATGCTGCACATGTCTTTATCCCTTTCCGGGTTCGTGGGTCCATCATGTTCAGTTTTTGCGTGCTCGTTCAAGGATGGTGCGCCCCCCGCGCCAGAGCATCGAGGATGTCTCGAGCGAAACGCTTGTTTGGCAAAATTTGATGGACCTGGGCGCCCCAGCACGCCCCAGGAGGCCCTGGGAGCGCGGACGCGGCGTAATCTACTAGGGATCGTCGCGTTGGGAGCGCGGACCACGCGTAATTTGCGAGGGATCGTGGCCCTCGGAGCGCGGGCGCAGCGTAATTTACGAGGGGTCGTGGCCTTGGGAGCTCGGACGCAATCCAATATACGAAGGATCGTAGCCCTTGGAGCGCGGGCGCAGCGTAGAATACGAGGGATCGTGGCCCTGGGGGCTCGGTCGTAGCGTAATTTACGAGGGATCGTGGCCCTGGGAGCGCGGACGCGAATACGAGGGATCGTGGCCCTGGGGGCTCGGAAGCAGCGTAATTTACGAGGGATCGTGGTCCTGGGAGCGCGGACGCAGCGTAATGTACAAGGGGTCGGGGCCTTGGGAGCGCGACCCCTATGTAATCTACTAGGGATCGTGGCCCTGGGAGCGCGGACGCAGCGTAATTTACGAAGAATCGAGGCCCTGGAAGCGCGTCCCGTGGCACGTCCATTGGCACGTTCCGTAGCGCGTCCCCTTGGCACGTCCCGCAGTGCGTTCCCATGGCACGTTCCCTGGGACGTCGCCTGGCGCGTCCCTTGGGACGGTCCGCGGCACGTCCTCCTGGCATATTCCCTTGTCAATTAGCTCTGGGGCAGCTACTATGTGCTCAGGCAGCTCGAGCTTAAGATCAAGATCAGTTCGGTCAGGACTCGGACGCAAATCCACAACGCTATAGAGCACAATCGCGGCATGGCACATTGCAGTTCAGCACGGCGCAGCACAGCACAGCCCTCGGCACGGTACATCAAGATCGATACATTCAGCATTGCAATTTGTCACATTCCTTGGCACGTTCCGTGGCGCGAGTCCCCCTAGCACGTCGCGCGGCACGTCCCCTGGCACGTCCCGTGGCGCGTCCATTGGCGCGTTCCGTGGCGCGTCCATTGGCACGTCCTGCGGTGCGTCCCCGTGGCACGTCTCCTGGCACGTCGCCTGGCGCGTCCCTTGGGACGTTCCACGGCGCGTCCTCCTAGCATGTCTCCTTGCCAATCAACTCTAGGGCAGCTACTATGTGCTCAGGCAGCTCGAGCTCAAGATCAAGATCAGTTCGGTGAGGACCCGGA